CATAAACATGACACTACCCCCGGGGTTTACACAGACGAGCCGGCGAAGCAAGAAGAGCGCCAGAAGAAAGGGCCCTAGCCGGCGGGGCCCAGCCAGGACAAAAGGAGGTCCCACAAAGCGCCTACACCGGCCGCATTTGCGGTCGGGGTAGACGACGGATGGGGCCCACCTACGAAGGCTGTCCAGGCCTACACGAGATGAGGCAGGATAAAGAGGGATAATCCCCCTCGATCCCAAATCATTGAGGCCAATTTCTAGCCATGGAATAATGGCGCGGTTGAAATCATAATCAATGAACATATACAATTTATGATGTTTTGTGGTTCTATGCTTTGTGCTTCCGTGTTTTTGTCTTTGATTTGTTTTTCTATGATGATTTGATTGATTTGAGTAAATCATTTTTCTGGTAATAACAATAACTAGGTTAAAAATAAAAAAGGCTATTGTATCCCTAAGTATATATAAGGACTTTTATATTGTATTGTTTTTGGTACCATGTATGGTTAAAAAGATTTTTTGTAGTATGGTAAGTGGGTTTCTGCTTAGTTAAATATATAAAAAATTTACATACAGTTAAGTACAATGAAAACTGGTATTTTGTAGGTATAAAATAAAATAATTCAGGTTTTAAAATTTAAAATGAATAGTAAAGAAGTTGAGCGAAAGATTGAGGAGTATGAACAATTTGTAGAAAAAAGGTTAAAGGAAGACCTTAAGGACATTGAAGTGATTCTAAATAGTAAAGTATCCAAATACAAAGACTGGGAAGATGTAAAACAAATTGTGAAAACACTGAAAGAATTTAAAGCAAAAGATAGTGATATGTCAGTCCGTTTGGACATTGGTCGTGGTATATTATTGACTGGGGAAATTGAAGATTTTGAAAGCACTTATGTGTGTATAGGTTTAGGTTATATGTTAGAAATGGATTGTGATGAAGCTAACAAATATTCAGATATACGATTAAAATTATTAAAGAAGGAGATTGACCACTTTAGAAAGTTAGCTGTAGATGTAAAAGTTCATATTAAAATGGTTTTATTAGCTATAAATGAATTGCAAGTTTCCTTAATACCTCCAACATTAAAAAAAAGTTAGAAAAGTTTGTGTTTATAATAAATATCAATAAAGTTGTTTAAGAGTAGAAATCTTAATTAATACAATTAAATTGTATATTGTGTTAAAGTATACGTGGTTTTAAAATCTGTGATCCTTTATAGGCAATGTAAGATCAAAGATTAGTTTTATATAAATAAATTAATTCTTGGATAACTTGTACAGGGTATAATTTAAGTATGTAAAAATATTTCAGGAGATGAATCTTTTGACTATTTTAAGAAGAAATATTCATATGAATTAAAGTCCCCAAGTTGGCTAAGTACGGCAACCTATTCTCATTTTGTCACTGTGTTTTAGTGATGGGAGATTTCGAGTGAAAAATCGAGTGGTACCCGATTATTGAGATCACTCGAGATATCTCGAGATGTTTACTCCCACCACTCGAGTGATTATTACCCTACGGTTGCACCCCAAAATGTTAGTGCATACTGCAAATAGTCATTGAGTGCGTAATCTTTTTTTTAGAATAAAACGAAAAAGTGGTTAGGTTTTGAAGTGCGGGAGCTTTTTTTTTTTTTAGCTGCTCTTATAAGTAATATATGACTAATACAAACATATTTGTGCGCCGCTGGGATGAAAACGACCAATATCTCGTATCTCGAGNTAATTCAAAAATGGCCCGTTTTTTCGGATATTATCGCTTATTATTCGTAAAGGAAGCCTCGGACGAAAAAAAGTAACTAAAGATTTTTTGTTCATTATTGAATGTTGTACAAGATAGGCATATTGGCGAACCAAAATTTTTAAAATTTGCATTGCAAAATAGCAATAAACTAATGAAAAATGTGGCACTTTTTCAGAGGAGCTTGACATTAATGAATCCTTCTACTTGCATTAATATCGACTAACTGCCTGTTGTCGTTTGGAGAAATTAAAGATCTTTAAAGAATGTTGTGCTTTGGGGGTGGCAATCGCCACATCGCCACCCCCTCTGGATCCGGGCCTGTATGCCCATCACTACTGTGTTTCATATATTCCGTTGCGTTTGACTTTAACCTAATTGTCTACAACCTATTTATATCAAAATATTATCAATCGTCCTATTTTGGATTGAAATTTTGAGTTTGTGTAATCAAGTGTTAAAAATGTTTACTTATATTGACGGATGAAAAAAAAAATGTGTGCTTCAATGAAATAGTAAACGTTTGAATGAGGGTGGGGATGAATTTATGGTGTTTTCCTTTCAGTGCTGCCAATTATATATTTAAAAAAAGTCAATATGGCACTAAATTTAGCGACACTGCTACAACTTAATTCGGTAATTATTGTCGCGTTATCGCTCCTCTTGCCTGATTGGTCGGCTAGGCGGGGGGTGTTTCTGTACGCACTTCGGGTTGTAACGCATAGGGGATAGCCGCGTCACGCCGCCGCCGCAAAAGCCGTTGGGACGCCTGCTGAGACCTCTCAGTCGCCTCCTTCAGTACCTGGAGGGAGTTAGTACAAACGGGTTTGTCCGGGTCGACAGTTGGCCGAGGAGTTGGGAAGTGAATCGCATCCTCACGGTTGTCGAGTTGACCTGACCACCCCGCAGCTGCTCTTTCCACCGAGAATGCGGCGATCGAACCAACGTACGGCGGCGTTCGTTCTACCTCCTGACCCGAAGAATCTGAAGAAGAGCTGGGAGAAGACGACGTACGAACTAATTTATTCTCCGTCCAAGACATGGTGTAATAGTTCAATAAGTTCCGGGTTTCAAGTGACCCTTTAAATAGCACTGAAGTTACTAGAGTTCAAGGACTCTATAGCACTGAATTTACTAGAGCTCGAGGGCTCTGTCTAGCACTGAATTTACTGATTAGCACTAGGTCTTTCCAATTTAAAGATCGAACTGAGGCACTGCAAAGCCTTGAGAGTTCGTACTGATGAGTTCTAGGACTCTTATAGTTCTTAACACTAATTGTTTATATGAATATTGCTGAACCTTGACCCAAAGGTTAGCTATGGCACGACCTCTTAAGAGAGTGCTCGTGTATGAATTAATATGAATATTACTGAACCTTGACCCAAAGGTTAGTTATGGCACGGCTTCTTAAGAGAGTGCTCCTGTATGAATTTATATATATCTATATGTATTGCTATTGGGGACGGAGGTATTAACACCGTCTCGCGTCGCACCAATGCTTAATGTAATCTTTGTTTGGCGAGGAAAGAGAAACTTGAAATGATTCTTTTTTGGCGAGGAAAGAGAAACTCGGAGGAATGAATATATATGTATATAGATTTAAATATTTATTTATTAATATGCATGTATGTACTACATGTGCGTGGAGTTGCAGCGGAGTAAGAACAGTTTGTTACAGTACCATATGGAATGAGCTTCACAGCTATTAGAGTTCAAAATTCGGACGTGCGCACACACCGAGTGGGGTTCCAATCCCACCTGATAGACTCCCCTTCTTTTGGCGGAGGAACTGACATGGCTCCGCAGAAATGGTATCGGAAAAATTGTCCTCGTCGGTTCCGGGTCGCGTCTACTGGTGGCTCGGGGGTGTGCAATGGGGATCTAAAAATTAGGTTTTTTGATTAGTAGTCGCCTGTTAGGCGCGTCGACGGACAGCTCCGGGCTTCTGGTCATCTCTGGAGCGGCTTTGGGACGGCAATTCAGAAGGTCGGCGATTTTATTGCGGCCCCTGGCGGCGGATCCAGTGGAATTTCTGCTCCTTTGGAGGCTGATTCTGTCGAATTGGCTGGAGGCGGTTCGAATGAGCCCGCTCCGAATGTCGAGGGTCGCCGGGAACCATTAGTGAGTGGTGGCGCCTCGAAAATATGGAAAGTATGTGAAATTTTCACTTTATCGGCTCTGGCTACCGATCCTTTGGAAATATGTCCAGTTTCGACGTAGTTTCTATCGAATTGGGTCACGGCGGTCCTAACGAGCCTATCCAGAACGTCGTAGGGCGCCGGGAACGACTGATAGCTGGCAGCGGCTTGGGAAGTGGAAAGATGCGTGAATTTCCACTTTCAGCTTTACGCGTGCCAGGATTCATGGATCATGGTAGAGGTTAGGGAATTTCTAGTTAGGTCTAACATGCCTTATCTCGTGCTTGGTTGTCGCAGAGACGTATTTTATACAAATTTCCAGCCAGATTGGTGAAAAAGCTTGTATTACGACATTATTTACTATAGTGGCACCCTCTCCAATTTTCACAAAATTTTGTTTACCCCCCTATTTTCGATGGTGCTGAACACGAATCTGAAGTTTTTTTGTGCGGTCGAACCCAGATTTTGAGAAAAATTTTTTTCAAAATTCTAACCTGAATATTTCAGAACTCGTAGAACTCTGTATATTTTATGTAGCTTTTCAACATCTGTAATAAACAATCAACATTGTTTAAGAAACACATTTTCCCAAATTTGAACTAAAAAAAAATATGTATTCAATTAATAAAATTATAGTAACTTTATGTGGGATGAACAGAGGTGAATGAGAGTACATACATATCTTTTTACTTGAAGTTTACGAAAATGTGTTTCGTGAACAGTGTTCATTGTTCATAACAGATGTTCTGAAAGCTACATAAAATATACAGAGTTCTACGTGGTGTTATCTGAAATATCCAGGTTAGAATTTCGAAAATTTTTTTTCTCGAAAACTGGGTTCGACCGCACAAAAAAACTGCAGATTCGTGTTCAGCACCATCGAAAATAGGGGGGTAGACAAAATTTTGTGAAAATTGGAGAGGGTGCCACTAAAGTAAATAATTACCTTGATTGTGCCGGCTCCATTGAGAGACCCGCACCTCGGTACAAA